CAATACATCAGACACGGTAAATCTACACACAGGTAAATGGGGGAGGGGCGTAGAGGTTTCAGGGAAATCGTCGCACGTGAGATTACTTAGCGAGCAGGTCGCCATTTCGCTCCACACAATGACACAGCACAATGGCGAACACAACACCCAGCGATACACACTAATGTCAGCGAGGGGGGGTGGGGGATGTGTGTAAGATAGGAACGGATGAGTACCTTAATCGATATCAATTTAAAAGTGTTTGTCGCATGTTTCCTAATATTTCGTCAGATAACGGCTAAGGAATTGATTTCATCTATTGGAACGAACAAGGGAAATAAACCTGGAAACGTTGAGTCAGAAATTAGTCATTTTGATTCAAAAATATCATGTCGCCCCACCCCCACATATTATACACAATACACCTAAAAAAAAATAATTTTTAATTTTTTTTTTTTTTTTTTTTTTTTTTTTTTTTTTTGTAAAACTAATGCAATATAAGCAAAGATGTTACATTTCAAGGATACACTTTTCATTCTAAGGGAAGCTACTCTAATTATTCGTGTGCAAAATTAAACTTGGTTATAGCCCTTTCACTAAAGGAGTACAAAACGATGTACGGTGCGAGTACAATTATGCAATTATTATTTTTGTTATTTTATAAAATCAGTGATACGTTTTATACTGTTTCTTATATCTAGTGTTTTGCCATTAAGATTCTAGCGTAGCTTACAAGAACATATTATTCTTTGTCATTCTGATTAACATTTCCCCTACCAAATTTACTCTATGTAAATAAATCAGTTCTGAAAATGTATTAAATATTACATTTTGAATGCACTCTGCCTTTTCTCTAAAAGTTTTCTACTAATTAAAAGTAGACATTTTTGACATCTTTTCAAAGTTAATTTTACATTCGTGATAGATAATGTGTAGTGACGCTCCAAAAATCGAACCCATCACACCAGCGTCGCACAATCAACGACAAGTGTAGGTTTCAGGTGTGTTTAACATTCTATGGGCCAATGATGTAATGACAAAAATTCTTGTCAAAATAGTGTAACCGGTAACAAGTTTCACAGATAACGTAAACTAGAGAGTAAAATAAAATTAGGTTTAAGTTTCTAGCATTGTGCAATAATTGTTTATAATAAATTTTAATGAAGTTGTTTTAAAATGTTAAGAAAAAAATATTTTTATCAGAATATATTGGCAAAATCTAATTGTCTTTGTTATTTCCCTTTGACGATGAATGAAAAACGCCCTTGCTAAATCCAAGTCATGACGTCACTAACGATGACTGCCGCCATGCTTATTTCCTGGTTGTGAGTCGCTTAATTTATATCAGATAACATTATGTAAGTTGAGAATCGCGATCTTTATTTTTGACCTGAATATGTTTCACTAATCTGTATGTAATTTTGTGTGTAATATAATAACATTATTTTTTTATTTTGTATTTATGAATCGTATCTATCAAGCTAAAGATGAACACGAAATACTTTACCGATTGGTGGAGTAAGACCAATGCTATTGAAACAGAAATAAGGTATCAAACGAGGCTAGTTATAGTTGTTGTTTTTTTTAAATAATTTTTTAGATTAATTTTCGATTTTTAGACAAGAGTTAACATAAAAATAACATAAAAATACATTTTTGGCTGAGCGAATGGCAATTTATATTTTGACTAAGTCACTTCGACTTACTGTCTTTATTGTTTTCTTACATTTTATTATTTTGTTGTTTCCTTTAAGACTCGCTCATACCCTCACCCTGTTCTCCCACTTTGTTTAAAACATATCAATATATACAAACACTTGTTTCATTATTTAAAATATCAAAGAGGTTTTCTTACCTTGTTTCAGTGTCGATCAAAGAAATAAAACACATAATGAAAAACACTTGTTAAAAAACAAATTTCACAAATAAGTAAGTGCCCTCTGCTCCATTAAAAGAATATCACAAAGAACTTTTATAGAACTATGAAATTCCGTCATCCCACAGTATAGAAAATCCACATTTCTTAAATCACAGTAACTGACAAGACAATAATCTGTGTCTCATCACGTAAACAACTGAGTTTCCTCTTTTGAGCCTCAAAAATTTATTCATTACTAAAACCTCCTAATTTCACAGACTGCACAATAAAGAAGTCACTATACACATTGTACAATCATAGTTTCATGCTTTTATCTGTAATAAGCTTGAGTTTAAATTTAGCTTTGAAAAGTTTTGCATGTTTACAACTCCTCCATTTATGAAATAAAACTTTCATTTTTACTTTTTCACAACTTGTATCTTGTATAATCCTGCTTACTGAAAAAAGAATACTTCAATTATTTTAAAGTTAGAAATATGATGTAATACAGTTATTGATTTTTTTAAAGAAATTGGATTGAATTCAACGTTATAAAGCGATGTGTTTTTTTTTTCAGAACAAAAATGCTATTTCTAGTAATGGTCAGTTCGTTGTTTTTGGTTGAAGCCGTACTAGCTTGTAATCCAGGAAAGTGTGGGCCGGGACAGTACCTCAACCAGACAAATACACAGTGTGAACCCTGTGGGGTGGATAAGTGGTTGAACAAAACCAACCACGGTTGTCACACTTGCTTCAACTGTGACACGCTAGATGACAACCCCGACAAAATTATTGTGGTGCAATGCAGTCCCACAAGCAACACCATATTTGGGTGTAGAGAAAACTACACCATGTCAGGTGACAAATGCAAAGCAGGTATTTGGTTTTATTAATTTTATCCAATACTAATATTAACGAATTTTATTTTAAACGAATTATTTTATTAGTAGATTATCAGCTTTTTGTAAAATAAAATGATAGGTCCGAATTTTTTTCATTGAAATATGAATATTGAAACATTATTTATTTTAATTTATTATTATTCATTAACAGATTTTTCAAGGACTTTAAAAAAGATTTTTATTATATATTTGTGTCCTTATTCAGTGTCCTCTCAAAAATGGAGTAAAGTGTATAATGGGTGTGTTGGGGGGGGGGGGGGGGGGAGATAGCAAATATAGAAAAAAATCACTAATATTTTACTATTTACACTTATGGAGCACAAAACTACGTGTTTGCTCATATTTTTTCCGTTTATAAGAAAATGTTAGAAAATGATTATTCATCTTTCAGTTAAAATCGTATCAATTAGTTGCTCTTAAAGTTTTCAATGTAAGTTCAATCCAACCAGATAGAGCATACAAAACTTATTAATTTTTATTTAGTGGACGTTACACTACCATGCTGGACTATTAAGTTATTTATTTAAAATCCATTACGTGTGCGCAAAATAAACAAATTCAAATTTGCTTTTTGCTTTACAGACATGAGGGCAACAACCATCAACACTGTGCTAACAACTGAATCATCTGTTAGAATGGACAACGGGAACGCACCAATAACAAATCAAGAGAATGTTGAATCGACTAGCCAGAATCGTATTCATATTAATTTTCTTATTGTTATTCCTGTTGTTGTTTTGTGTGTTGCTATTTTTCTTTCAGTGGCAAAACAGGTAGTTAAGAGTTAATTTAAATTTAAAAAAAAAAGACAAGGCGATGTAAATAATTATAAGCACGACCAGAGCGAAGCTAACAGATTAGACGAAACGTAAATTTAAACTGCAGTTAAACTCAAAGATCTTCGCATGCTATAATTAAATGTATACATTAAAACCTGTTTTTACAAGCTTTTATTTAACTCCGTCTGTTTTCAGTCTGTCGTCATGAATCGAAACGCCCGAGCGAAATTTCGGGCACTTCTAACTGACAGATTCGTTTCAAATTTGGCAAGTGGGTCAAGATTTTGAAAAATCTTGGAAAAATCTGTTAATGAATTTTAAAAAACTAAAATAAATAATGTTTTTATATTCATATTAAATTGAAAAACTAACAAGCTTTTATTTAATAATGCAATAAAAAGCAGAAAATAAATTATTTTTTAAATATATAATAATACACTACTATTTAAATAGCTCAAAGGAAAGCGAGGATCTCTTCCTAAATATGTGTAAAGGTATCCAAATAGATAACAAACTGACCCAGGCTTTTCTTTATAATTGTTCTAATTATCCATGCTCCAATATAATCATTCCTGTAAAAATGTTTTCACTTGATTGTTTCCTTATTAAGCGATTTTATAAATTTATTATTACTATTATTACTATTATCCCTAGTAGTAGTTGTAGTAGTAGTAGTAAACGTATATTACTCTAATTTTATTTTAAGTATTTAACATACTTAAATTTCATTATCTTTTATGTATTATAAATGTATCTTGTATTTTTGTTTGGTAAAATATATTTATTCAGTTATACCTTTTAGAATCGTTAAATACTTATTATTTTCTATTTAAATATGTTGATATAGGATTAAAGGTTTTGTAAAATAATAATTTTACTGTTATATCAAAATCGGAGAATAGATTAAGATTTTATCATTTAAATTGTTCTTTAATTTTAAAAATATTATTACACCTTAGTTTTATAACAGGTGAAAATGCTTTTAAGTCAGTTACTTTAAACTCTACCACTTTTGAAAAAAATATTGAATGTCTTAGCTTTTAGGTTTACTAAATCTCAGAGTTATATGTGTAAGTTTAGAAATCGGTATAAAAATGTAAACAATTTATTTAGAAATAAAAAATTTCATTTTTTGTTTATTTGCAATAAATGTAATTATTGGGCCTATGCGTTTAAGTGTTTTAAACGTGTTATCAGGATCACAGCCTACTACACGGATACTTACTTAAATACCGTATTTCGAATGACTTAGTTGAGGACAGTATTCTGAAGTTGATTGACAGCATAATGTTTAACAGCGTGAACGTCGTCGGGTCTAGCGAAATTATTTTTTTGTGTGCAAAGAACGTAAACGAAGGTTAGCGAAACTACATCTGCTTTGACCATGGATGCTTCCCAAAACACCAAGACTAAAATGAATAAGGCAGAAGAAAAAAAAATGCAAAGGTAACTTCAGAGAGTGGAATTGTTCAACACTGACGCTTCATGGTGGAAACTGTATTGTCGCCCCAAGTCAGTCTCTTGTAACATTGCGTGGAACCTAGAAGATAAAAAGTAATACAAAATTAAATAAACGTTTCAATTTTCAATTGACTTGATTTTTGCATATTACATGAATATTTCAAACGCCTAACACATTTACTTATTAACAGCTAAATGATTAAATTAATACTGCATTGTGAGTTGCCTACACATAATTTATTTTGTTTCAGCAAACGGGTTTTAATTTTGAAATATCTAAAATTGATTAGATATTAATTCAAGTAACTTCAATAAAATTAAAAATCATTTACTTAAATGAAAAAAAAATATATTAAGAGCCAGAAAAAAAAATTCAATTATAATATTTAATTATATTTCAATTTAAGAAAAAATAAAATAAGCCATAGTTACGTGATTAAAAACTGTTTCGTACAAAAAAAATAATATTGCTCCCATCCATTTCGATAGTTTTAAAGGGAGACAACACACCAAATTATTTAGTTTTATTTTTTCTTATTATATCCCCTTGCCCCTTTTAAATTTGAAAACAAATCGTTTAAATTTACATACTTGATTATAAACGATTGAACACTCGAATTGGGCCACATAGAAACATTTTTGCTTTCTGCAAAATAAAAATAAAAATAACGTTAGATAAAACATGAGAAAAATATATTTTTAAAATATGAATTTAATAGGCATCATAATATTTAAGTGATATCCCTTGTCAACCGATTCCAGTTAGCTTCATTCTCAATAATATAAGATTTCATGAATTACCTCCCCTGTAACAATACAAATTTCGTTTCCCGAAAAGTAGTGAGTGGCGTTTAACAATAAAAGTAACGTAAAAATGTATGACGTCAAACGTGACATTTTTAAAATAAAAAGTTAATAAAAACGTTTTAATTACTCGTTTTTATGTAATCCTGCCCTAAAAAGAGAAGAAAAATGATTTTCTTTAAATATATTATAATACTCGACTGTTTAAATAACAATAAAGAAAAGCGTTTTTTTCTCCTTTCAAGTGCATTACTAGCGTGCTCGTCCCCGCGCGTTGCCGCGGGTCAGAATAAAGTCCGAGAATAGCTCGGGGATAATTGCACCCTACTGGGGCGTGGGCGTACGCGCCTGATTCAGTTTAGTGAACGACTATAATGCCCCATTGTATCCATTGTCTATCTCACTAATTAAAACGGACGAAGGCGCCATAGCGCTCAAGGGATAACCCGGGGCGCCAAATCACACCCTTCAGAGACGCGCCTGATACGATTTAATTAGCGTCTATAGAAACCCATTTTATCCAGTCTACCGCGCTGTTTAAAATGAACTTAGGTACCATGTTGCTCAGGGTTAACCCTGGGTGCTTAATCAGCCCCTATCGGGACGCCGTAGGACGCGCCTGATTCGATCGATTCAACGACTATTGTTGTCTTAAGTATATAGCCTTTTTGTTAAACGAATGTAGAATTACTCCTTATATCGGTTGTGAAAATGGTCGGTCGGGGAAAGCTCTGTTTCAGTGGCGCTATTTGGTTTTTGTGTTTACACGTTCGTCCTAACTCACAGGAGTGGAGGCGAATGGAAGAGTAGTGGATTCTGATACAATATGGCTAAAGCTATTTTATCTTTACAATAAATTGTTCTCTTATCTTTGTCTCCAATAACGTTGAAATAGAATTGAAAGGAAATCAATACCATATTTGTTTTTCCTTGATAAAAAAAATCAATATGTCCCATTGATCGATTTTTTAAAATTCGATCGTAGTTTTTTTTATCAAACTCTTATGTATCGATCTCTGTTCGATCGTCCCTTAATAGTTAACATAAAATGCAAATCAATATTGGTTACATAAGCATGACCAAATAAAATCAATAATTTAACTGAATTATTAAGAAAACACCGCATAAAGCATTGAATTAATAATGTAATTTTAAAAGTTATTAAAGTAGTTGGTTCCAATCCCAATTTCACTTTATAACCATCGTTCGTATAAAAACATAATACAATGTTTGAAAGCTTACTTGTTTTAAAGTTACTTTTAACATAAGGGTTTAACAAATACACAACCTTTATGATATTTTCATTAACTAATGTGTAAGATCAAATATGTGTTATAAATAAATATGTTGTCTGTAAATTATAATACAAGTTTCGTAAAAATAAATATGGTTTACTTACTCAACACATAGAATTAAAGAAAAATGATTTGTTTAGATCTTACTGGAAAAAAGTTCTTCTTTCTTTCTTTGCTCTTAATTTTTAGTGCAGCAGTGTTTGCCTTCAACACGATTAACAGGCCTATACGTGTCGATATGTCATGCGCGGTTGAAACCTTTGACTCCGATTTTAATAATAAAAGCACTATCAGACAGTAGCAGTTTGATTTTGGAGTTGTCTTTCCTAGAAGAGTTGTTATCCCCAGTTAACGAGCCTCCTCTGGCCGATGGTTCGAACTCGAGACTTTTCAGTTTAGCAAACATGAGCTTTACCGACTCGACCACATCAACCCCTACTGCAGTTCAAATAACGATTTTAATCTTCATCTACTACCTACACTCTAACCTTACCTTTGTAGATTTGTACACTTCTTAACGTGTACATTACATTTGTACACGTGTATGAATACATCTATAAATCTATACACATATATACATTTAAATACATTTATGAACATTTATATACATTTATATATATCTATATACATTTATATACATTTATATACATTTATAGCCTATACATTTATATAAATGTATACATTTATATACATTTATATACATTTATATACATGTATATACATTTATATACATGTATATACATGTATATACATTTATATACATTTATATACATTTATATACATTTATATACATTTATATACATTTATATACATTTATATACATGTATGTACATTTATATACATGGGTATGAATTTATATACATTTATACATGTATTCAGTTGTGCATGTATGCTTTTGTAAATTTGTACATGTGTCTATTTGTACATTTGTTCATATGTCCTTTGTACATTTATGCGCTCGTACGCTTTTACGTGTGTACGTTTCTGTTTGCTCGTTTGTACGTTAGTACATTTGTACACTTGTACGTGTGTACGTTTGTATGTTTGCACGTTTGTACTTTTGTACGGTTGTAAGTTTGTACGTTTGTACATTTATACACATATACTTGAATTCAAATACAACTACATAGATATATTTCTATTGTTATATACATATAGTCATGTATACTTATACATATAAATTATTATTATTTCAAAAATTTACTTACATAAATGAATTTATACGCATGTTAATGTATACATTAAAAGTATTATATAATAATATTTATTACTCTACCTATTAGCAGTTGCAAGTTTGGTGCTCTCTTTTATGTTTTCGAATAAGATACTCCTAACAGTTTTACCTGAATTATATATGTACCAGAATGTCCATGTGTTGGGCCATGCTACTAGCCCACAAGCCCAGACATAATCATTAGATGTTGATAGGTGCTGGGTGTTGTGGTGTCACTGGTGAAAGGAAATAAAAAGAAATGATGAAACAAAGACGTGAATGGCTATTCATCAACGCTAAAAATAGAATTCTATTCGTGGTATTTGAATTTGCTTTTAACGGGGAGTGTACTGCGGCTAGGGTCCATTAACTTTCCTCTGTGAGGTCGAGTGTTTATGTTTTTCCTAGAAATGCACATTCGCTGTTTCGTTCTTATTGTAAGTGTTGTTTAAACTAGATTTCACCATTTGTGCGCATTGTCATGTTACTTATAATAGCATGAGTAAAGTTTCCTTTCATACCTGACGGTCTACGGGGCAAGTGAAGTAGAGTTCACTTGTTTCTGTGAACAAGGCATATGAAGGAAAAGTGTGGTCAGCACTATGCCGATCCGCCTTTACTTACCCCAACGTTAGGTACCCATCAGAGCTGGGTGGACTCAGGTACGGTCTACTGACTTGAACCTGGATTTGAACCCGAGACTTCGAGGTCTAGGGGTTGCAGTCCAGTTCTCTACTGCTAGACCACGCCGTCCGACACTTTTAAGAGCATACTGTAAAACATACTATACAAAAAATAAAAAGTGCTTGGCGTCTTTGCATTTATTTTCGTGGGCGGAACTATCATGCCTCATCACGTAATGCGGGTGGGGGTGGGGTGTATGCTATTTAGGGGAACCAAAAAAAAAAACGATAAAAAATAACACATACACAATTTTTCTTGCACTTTGATAATGATTTTGTAAACAGTGCTACTTCAATAGTGATTGTTCTACACTAACTAACACACACTGTTGCTTAGAAAAATAAACAACTACATGCGCTAAAATAAGGCACACTAAATAGGAATGTATTCAAAATTAATAATATAAATGTAAAAAATGGAGCCGGACGTTTTCCCGAAAGTCATTCGCCCGAAGGCCAATTTCCCGAATGGATACTTGCCGAATGCCGTTTGCCCGAAGACCGATTTCCCAAATGGACACTTGCCCGAATGGGACAAATGCCTAAGTGTCTTTTGGGAAACCATTACACAAATCAAACTTTCGTGTTTCATATACTTTCGACCAACTTGCTACATATGAAGTTACAATTTTAGTCGGGCATAGAACGGGATAAAAACGATTTTAAAACTGTTTATTTTCAATTTGTCAAGAATGTTGGATTTTTTTGTCTATTATAATACTTTTTAAAAACCAATTGTAACTTTTAAAAACAAATTTTAACTTACGCATTTGCAGAATGTACGATGTCCTATATACCAAATCGACACTATTAAACTGTTTAAGTTACGTTGTCTAAATTCAATGACGGGTTATGAAAACAATTGGAAATTATGTTCACGGAAGAGAAACTACTCCCCATCCGTGCAATGTAAGTTCTCAAACCTCACAGAAAAAAATCATTTTTTAAACATGACCAAGTACGGTTATATGTCTCATTAAAATAACCAATAATTCATCACACTCGCTGTCATGCAGTACTCAACTTTGGCGCATATGATGTTGACAGGTTTTTGAATTCGACATCAAAAATGTATTGTGCGTCAGCTTTCTGGTGTAACATTCTTCATACGAAGTCTTTTTGTACAATAATCCACATTTGGAACGTAGCCAAATGTGAACAATATGAAAATGCAGTATTGATTGATGGGATATTTTTTTCCTTCTTTGGTGGAATGTGCAAAATTTAATGTTTTCAGATGCTATAAAATACAAACATGATGATAGGTTTTTTATACATATAGTATGCACTTACGTTGTATGTGTTTAAAATAGATGCGTTTGATAAAATGGTGTTGATCTACTAGTCTGAAATAAAATTAGGATTGTAAAGCAAATCCGATTATTTGGTTAATATTAACGTCGTATTGCTTTTAATCATAACACTCAAATTTTGACAGATGGCAGAGAATTACATCTTTTACATATATTTGAAATTTCATAAACCTAGCTGCTGTAACGGTATTCAAGTTATCGTGTTCACAGATATATATATATATATATATGTATATATATATATATATATATATATATATATATATATATATATATATATATATATATATATATATATATATATATATATACATATACATATACATATACATATACATATACATATACATATACATATACATATACATATACATATACATATACATATACATATACATATACATATACATATACATATACATATACATATACATATACATATACATATACATATATATATATATATATATATATATATATATATATATATATATATATATATATATATATATATATATATATATATATATATATATATATATATATATATATATATATATATATATGTATATATATATATATATATACATATATATATATATATATATATATATATATATATATATATATATATATATATATATATATATATATACATCCAGATATATACATCCAAATAAAATTAAAAGAAAGACTAATGAATAGTATATGTTAACTATTCATCGACTCGACTTTTCTGTCGATGCTTTAGCAGTGAAGAAAATAGCCTGCTACTGAAACAGGTTTTTCAATACAGCTCTTATCAGATTCTACTTTCAGTTTGGAAACTATTTCAGGCTTTCCACGATTATTTATTTACAGTGCTACATTGTCCTTAACAGGTTAGGATTGTATTGTGTAGACATAAAAGAAAGCAGAGCTCTAAAACAACTAGACGAAAACATGAGACATAGAGTAAAGAAAATAGGACACAGTCGATTGTGGTTACTCTTGTTTTTATGACGCCGTGTTTACATTGTATGATTTAAATAAAACACGAGCGGAAATTCCCGTTGCTCAAGGTTTATTTTATGGAAATAGAGAGAGAGAGAGAGAGAGAGAGAGAGAGAGAGAAAGAAAATGAGATAGAGGGATAGCGAGGGGAAATAAAGAGTAAGCACATTATTTAGAAATGTTATATATATATATATATACATATATATATATATATATATATATATATATATATATATATATATATATATATATATATATATATATATATATATATATATACATATATATATATATGGTATTTATGATATTATTTAATTATATATCTTATTTTTGTATGTATATTACATTACCTTTAGCCATTTTTGTTTTCCAATCCATTAATATCTAAACCTTGCTTATGTGGTTCACCGAATCACTGCACAGCTTTCTCGTGTTGTCTTGGATCTCTAAGTCTAGTGAACTGTCAAACGTTTGATTACAATTGAAAATACAATAAAAATAAAAGCGTTTGCACTTGTTATTGAATCGCGTAATCATACTAATTTATTTGTAATCATACTAATTTATTGAACCTTTGATATACGTAGTGATAATTTTGTAATAATAAAATATATTTTACAAATTTTCGCTGTTTAAATATATATATAAAGACACTTCTTTCTTAAAACATATAACTACTTCTATAGACATGAATTTTATTTAGACTGTTTGTGAGGTTTTGAATCTCCGGGTTCTATTTGTTAAACTAGCTAGCTACAGGGATGTAAAAATGTCACAGTGATGATTTATTAGTTCCCTGTAGTGCTATAATTGCTACGTTAATCATATTGACCAATTGTGGAAGCTTTATCAATTAATTATTACGGGTATCCTGGGTGGAACTGTAAACTATAGGGCTGGTAAGTAGGTCACCAACCAGTTCTACGGCTCAATAAAACCTACATGAGCCATATAACTGGTTGGTGACCCACTTACCAGCCCTATAGCTAGGGGGAGTTACTGCATTCGTATTATATTCAGAGGCGTAGCGAGGGGGGGGGGGGCGGGGGGGGGGGGGGGACATATGTCCCCGGGCACCGACCATAGGGGGGTGCAAATCGAAAGTTTGAGGGGGGGGGGTGCAAATCGAAAGTTTTTCCCCGGGCGCCGGGAAGGGTCGCTACGCCTCTGATTATATTTCAGGATCTTAAGAAACCATGTCAAGTGGCGTCATCAGGTTGGGTGTTACAAGGTTAGATAACTCACTTTGTCACCATCTAGGGGGGCCCTACAGTGTCACCAGGTGACGTAACTCTATGTGTCACCAGATGAGGTAACTCACGGTGTCACCAGATGAGGTAACTCACAGTGTCACCAGATGAGGTAACTCACAGTGTCACCAGATGAGGTAACTCACGGTGTCACCAGATGAGGTAACTCACGGTGTCACCAGATGAGGTAACTCACGGTGTCACCATATTACGTAATTCATATATGTGTCACCAGATGAGGTAACTCATAGTTTCACCATATGAGGTCACTCATGGTGTCACCAGTTGAGGTCACTCAAGGTGTCACCATATTACGTAATTCATTGCGTCACCAGATGAGGTTACTTATGGTGTCACCATGACTGAAATCTGCAACCCGTCCACCTCTGACTGACAGAAATGTTATAGTTTTAAATCTTCTTAAATGCCTGTACCCCTCTATACATGACGATTACTAACCAACTACGTAGCCTACGAAATCAAATACGCTTTTGGACCAGCGTATTCTTCAGTGTTACATAAGCAATAACTCTACCATTCTATCGTGTTACATAAGCAATAACTCTACCATTCTATCGTGTTACATAATCAATAACTCTACCATTCTACCGTGTCATAACTTTTTCATACTCAAAAACCTATGGACGTGTTAACGCTGCAAAGATTGTATTTATTTTATTTACAATCTATTGATTTTTTTTCAGGCAGTTAAAGTAAACTGCACCACGATTTGAAGTTTCTAATATAATACATTGATTTTAGTAGATACAAGCATGTATTTAATGTGTATGCTATATATTGGATGATTCTAGAACAACCAGATATGAATTTAATCGAAATGATACCGTATGATTTTAGGATAACCAGGTATTAATTTTAGGTAGACAATAAGGTCTCATTCTAGTAGACCCATGAAAGGTGTACAATAGGTATGGTTTTATGAGACTTAGGAATAAATTTAATGAGTCTCAATAGGGAACTAAAGGT